TTGCTCTTTTATAATTTTCTTGGTGCGTTTCATAGGAAGTAATTCACCATTTTTGATCACTTCTTTGATCAGTTGTACGATAGAATTAACGACCTGTTCCTGAGCTGGAAAGCAATATCGCTCATTCAAGTAAGTAGTATCAAGGTATAAAATGTCTATTGGTGGATTATTAGGTTGCACTATTGCTGAATGAAGCACCTGACGTGGGCATGCCCGAAAATCACCAGTATGAAGGTATCGTTTAGTTTCACCGTTAGCACATTTGGTTTTGAATAAGAATAATACAGATCCCGGACAGCTATTTATAAGTTTTACGTAGGTAAAATGATATGAAAATGTAACAATTAAATGTCGAGGAAATATTCCAACTCACTGATTTGCATCAATTAATGTGACTACTGTATCAGTATTATTAATGACGACCTCTTCATTCATGGGTAATTTTCGAACATATTGGGGTTTGACACGCAATTGTTGAATAACTAGATTTCCAGTGACGGATGAACAATATATAGGCCCATGTGACCATTTTTGAGATAACCCAACATAATGGTCGGAGTGGAAGTGACTATTAACAGAATTGATAGTAATATAGTTTTATTAAGGTAAAATAATTTTAATTATATAAAACGTTGATACATACCTCAGAAAATAGGCGGTACAATTAGGGATCCTTCCATACTTGAACGCGTCAACCGTTATGTTCGTTCCTGAAAGAGGAAGAAAGTTGGAAACACGAATCAAAGTAAATGACCTTAACTCACTTAATTACCCTGTAATTTTTTGTACCACGGACATTCTTTCTTCGAAGTCGGTTTTACAGTGGTATCTTTTTTCATCTCATTATCAAGATGCGATTTAATCGTTGGTTGACTATTTTGAATACTGGTAAATTTGCTTTTAAAGCTGAACAATGCGTTCCATGAAGAAGGATCATTTGACTGTAAAATAGTGTGTTTTGTTTCTATAGATAATTCACTCGTAGTTAATGTAGACGATCCTGATGGATTATCAAGGCATTCGGTCACATGCAAATTTGATTCCTGTAAACGAACAGATTAAAATTAGAAGCTTAAAATTACAATTTTATTTTAAAGTTAAAAAAAAGATACTGTACCTCTAATGTATGTTTTTTTAATGATTTTCCGCATACGGGACAACAATTTTCATTATCACCTGCATCTATTTCATCAACCAATTGATCTTGACTAATCACAGGACTAACTTCTTTACTCAAAGTATCATAGAGCATATATTCATCATTTTCTAACTTTTCCTGCAATGTATCTTTCATGTAATTAGGCTATTCAGCAAATTTAATTTATTAAATGTTACACCCCAACCATTGTTTTTTTATATATGGGGTTGAGTCAATAGAAATCAAGCAAACTTTTTCTAAGTAAATTTTTTTTGAAACTTTAAACAAAAATATTTTAACAAAAACTTTATCAAATTTAATAAAAATTTTTTAAAATAAATGATAAAGTTAGTAGAATTCATTTTATTAAATTTGATTAAGTTATTGTTAGTTAAAGTTTCAAAAAAATTTCAATAAAAACAATTTGCTTGATTTCTATTGACTCACCCCCATATATGTAATAATTTTATTAATTACCTTTTGGACTATCGTTTGGTTCTTTTGAACGACCGAAAAAATCAAATAACGTTGTTGAATTAACGGTATTATTCTTTTTTGCGGAATTATTTGTTTTGTTAAAGTTTTTATGATCCTTTTTAGGTGACCCATTATTGCTATTAGTAAAATTTGACGTGTTTACTTTTGATTGTTCTAATGCTCGTCTTTGTAAAACTTTAGTTTTATTTGGTGAAGTTGGCAATGAAGAAGCTTTATACTTTTTTCCTATATTTTTATTGACTTTACTTGGTGATTCTCGTTTGACCGGAGTACTAGTTATACTATATCTTTCAGTAGAATTGCATTTTTTAGTTGTAAGCTCTGCAAGTCGCTCAATGGTTCTATCATTCCAAATGTTCTTATCCGAATCTTCAGACATTTTTAATTGTACAGTATAAAGAAATATTATATAAAAGAAGTGCCAACCTATCAATTTCGAAGATTATTTATTTCGTTATTTAAATTGTAGTAGATCTACAGAATCGCGTTTTTTTACTTTCGCGTACTTTAAGTAGCAGATGAACGTTACACGGTAGTACAGACATATATGATATATTCGATCTTTTAAATAGGATTACAATACCGGTAGTAATACCGGTATATATATACAGTACCTCTATCTAATAGTTCAAAAAATTATTTACAAATTTTTTTCGATTATATATCTTTTTTACTCTCAACTTTTGTCGATTGTTCACTGATTTTTAGATTTTTAGATCTATTAGTACCAACAGAATATAATAAAGTCCCTATAAATACCAGAAGACCACCGATTGCAACCCCATAGTGAAACTCATTATCAAAAAACCACAAAGAGATAACAAGAGAAGTAAATTTTCGAAGATTTAACACAAGATTTAACGTTAGCGCAGTAACTACAGAATGCAGCCTGTGAACTCCCGAAATACACACATACCTGTTTATATAAAAAAAATAATAAAAAAAAGAAGTTATTTAGAAAGTTTAAAAAGCATTTTAAATGTCTATAGATCCTTAAGCTTACTGAGTAAGAACGTATATGAAGAGATAAATCCATGTTTTTGGTAGAATACAACAAGTCGATATATTTTGAAATACGTCTGGAATAGGTAACACTTTGCTAAGTGGCATCGGTACAGATTCATTGTAAATTTTGACTTGACCTTTGACATCAGAATAAAACAGCAAAAAGAACGGTAATGCCAAAAGATGCTATCAAACAATATTGAATAAAACTAAAGATTAATTAATTTTTGCGAGTGACATGGTTTTAAAGAAAAAAAAATGGAGCATACCGTGTAAAATAATCCTTCGCGCCAATCACTTTTATATTTCGCATATGTAAATTCTTGATATAGGCCCATAAAACATGATAATACTAATGTGATCGAGAGCAATGTAATTCCAATCACATAGTCCGATGTGCCAACCGTATTAATCTCTTCCTAATGTTGGAAATGTTGGAATTATTATTCTTATAAATTTCAAATTAATCCGCGCCATATGCAATAATTTATTTTTAATTCACCCAATATTAATTATTTCGTTTAATACCTTTGTACTGACATCGGATGAACTGATCGTTGCAAAGATGACACCCAGAGTAACCATTATGACAGCAATAACTTGCTCTATTGAATATCTTAAAATATAGATATGAAAATGATTAAGTTTATAATTATATATGAAAATTTAGGTGATAATATTTCACACCTTTTTTTTGCTATCGACCAACCCAATATCATACTGACAATTAGTCCGCCACTACGAAAAATAATGTGTAAAGGTACGGATATCTTATATCCGAACGCTAGATTATTTAGTACTGATACCGTAAAAAACATAACCACCTGTATTAACCAGCGATACAGGGGAACCTCCCGTTTTTTTAATTGTAGAATGTAAGAAGAGGAAAAATCAAGATGGTAAATCAAGCCTTCACCGGTAATAAACAAGAATTGAGCGAAAGTAAACAGATTCCCTAGGAAGTGAAACAGAACGTTAACACTATACGTAAATTAAAAAAAAAAAAAAAAAAAAAAAAAAAAAAGGAAAACGATCTCAAGCATACCACTCTTTGGGGCGACACTGATAAAATAAAAGGAGGGGTAAGTTTTAGTTTATGTCGTTATTTTTCAATAAATAATTTATAAAATATGTCGAGCATTACTAACGAAACTAATCTTTCTAAAGCAATGACATTTGTGCAGCAACCGCCAAAAATTAAAGCTATGACCGTGAGAGTGTCACTCCAAGATGCATGACGCGTGCCATGCTGATCGGTCGACATTGTTTCCGTATTTCTCAAGAAATACAGAAATGAAATATTCTTGATTAGCTAATTTGGGGTCAGTTAAAGCGGAGCAGGATTTGGTTACTTTTTTTGATACATTAGCATAGGTCAAGTTCGATTTTATTGGCTGATCAGCAAGAAGTTTGATTGGCTAAAATTAAAGATCATCCTTTATATTACTATTTCTTTTCGATATCCCAATACTTGCAATATATAGTAAAACAGGTTGGATTTAATATACTAACTTTGTGTTACATGTTGGTATTGCTCCTAAGACAAGTTGGTGGAACAACTGGATCCAAGACTGGATGTCAAACGCGAATATGAAAGTTAAGTTTTTAAAGTATAATCTGACGAAATAAGCCATATTAATTATAAAAAAGAAAATTTCACCACTTTCAAGTTGAAAGTTCTATTATAAAATATAAAAAATTCGTGTAACAATGTTTTTTCAACAAAAATAAACAACCAATCATAACGAACTTTACCTATGTTTGATTATTATTTATATAAAAATATCAAATAAATAAATTCAGAAAAGCACGTTCTATTTGCGCGAAAGACTATGTCAAATAAAATACACGAGTATTTCGATACCGCATATTCCCAATGGAATATTCGCGATTTTTTGGATAAGTGTGATTTAGAACCACTCGGACAGAAGACAGATTGTTACGTTAGGTGTCTTAAGACCATTGCTAATCGCGGGACTGATCGCAGGCGTGAAAAAGCACAGGAACTACTCAACAGGTATACGAAGGCGAGTATATCTTTTTTTTGAAAATGTAGATAGAGAATAGGTGACGCGTCTAAGATTTACGAGATCCTCTGACGTTCAAGGTTCCGAGCCGAGTCACGAAGCCAGTGTTGGAGCGCATACGACTTACGAGGTCGTCTTACGTTCAAGGTTACGAGCCGATCTGACACTGGCCCTGCTGGGGCGTATACGACTTACGAGGTCGTCTTACGTTCAAGGTTTCGAGCCGACCTGGCAGGAAGAAAAAATAGATAGGACATGTTATTAGAAGAGAACATTATTAAATTTTTTCTTTCAGAGTACTCGGCCAGATCGTCAATTAGCAAGAAGTTGGGATAAAGAACGTTCTTATAAGAATAAATCGGCCGAATCTTCAGTTCACGTCCACCATCCAACGTTTATAGGAGGAGGGACTGTTAGTGGGATTATAAACTCTGAAACTTTCATTTCCGGATCATCAGAAAAGGATCAGAAAAAGGCACAGGTATGAGTAAAGATATTAAGGGGTAGTCCGCAGTTAAAGGGTATAAATTTCATAGTAAAAATCGGCGGGCATTTACTAGTTGTCTTATATAGTAAGTGGAATGCCGTGTGCTTCTGTTCTTAAGAAAAAACCCTATAGTAAACGATTAAAAAATACAAATATCTCGGAATCTACTGGACAGTTTATGATGATTCTACCACCATTAGAACGAGAATAATCGTCTCTACAATTTTCCTTGGAAGCTCAAGGAAGGTTTACTTCGTAATAAAATACTTTTGTATGTAAGCGAGCTCCATTCCTACATTATAGAAAAACTAAGTCCCGCCGTTCTTTACTATAAAATTTACTATTTTTTATACTCTTCAGAGCCGAGCTACCTCTTAAATGTTATCCGGCAAACTCTTATGATCATAGATTTATTTCTTGTTATTTTTTGGTGTGATGTTTATTCGAATTAAAACTTCAGTTAGCCAATCACGACTTGAAAATCATGATCATGAATTGCCGGATTTGAGTCATGCGTTGATAAATATCGTAAGGAGTTAACTATATATCGCACCAGTGCGATACTCTTAATTGTCGCGCTTTATTTTAATTGGCTAATCTTGCACTGTGCGATACTTTTATTTGTCGCCCA